ATGTGTTTGCATCAAGGTTATATAAACTTCTTTTTTATATATTTAAATCCATCCATATTTATTCTCAGTAATAACTGACGCTGTGGGTATGGGGTATGGGTATGGGGGTGTGGGTATATGAGGTGTGGGTATGGGGGAGTGGGTAACGGGGGAGTGTATATTAAGCTTGTTGAAACAATGCCTATAATTTACTCACTTTATATCACTCCCTACAACTCAAATTACTGTTTTCCCGTGAGCATCACCAGCATTAACGTTGCGGTCCGTGACCCAACTGTTGACATTAACATCTCTAACCCCAACCCTCGTCTCCTACATTCCGCTCTCTGACCCCTACCCTCGTCTCCTGCATTAATATCTCTGACCCCAACCCTCGTCTCCTGCATCATCTCTGACCCCTACCCTCGTCTCCTGCACTAACATCTCTGACCCCTACCCTGGTCTCTGTCAGCAGACATGAGCGACGAAGGCGAGGGCGGCGTGGCGTGGCAGCGCGTGTGGACCCTCGTCTCTTACATTCAGTTCTCTGAACCCAACCCTCGTCTCCTGCATTAGCATCTCTGACCCCTACCCTCGTCTCTGTCAGCAGACATGAGCGACGAAGGTGAGGGCGGCGTGGCGTGGCAGCGCGTGTGGACCGTCGAAGGCGGACGCGCGGAGCTCGCGTGTCCCGTGCGTCCGCGCACCCCTGGCGACGCGCCGTCCCTCGTCCTCTGGTACAAGGGCAACAGCACCACGCCTGTCTACAGGTACTGTAATGTAGGTACCATAACATAGGTACTGTAATGTAGGTACCGTGATAGAGGTACCATATGGTACAAGGGCAACAGCACCACCCCTGTCTACAGGTACTGTAATATAGGTACTGTAATATAGGTACCATAATATAGGTACTGTAATATAGGTACCATAACACAAGTATCATAACATAGATACCATAGTATAGATACCATAACATAGGTACTACAACATAGATACCATAATATAGGTACCATAGCATACGTACCCGACATATATACCATAACATATGTACCATAATATAGATACCATGACATAGCTATCATGACATAAATTCTATAATATAGATACCATGACATAGGTACCATAACATGGATACCATAATAGATAGCATAAAATAGGTACCATAACATAGGTACCATAACACAGATACCATAGCATAGGTACCATAACACAGATAACATAACGTAGGTACCATAACTCATTTATAAGATGTACGTATACTGGTATAGTTCAGCAAAGATTCTTCCTCTATGCAAGTTTGATTGAAAACCGGAGAAAACTTTTTATTTATTTACGGTACGTACGCCTGGTATACGTTTACCTACAGTATGGGCTCATCACAAATATTTTAGCACATTGTTCTGTTACCTTCAATAATGTCGTAGCACAAAAATATCAGTAACACGCTGTAGGTACCGTAACGCATGGCTAATTAATCCGTATTAACCAAAATCTTTCAAGTACAGTACGAGGTTCCTAATGATTTTTTGCAATGTTGTACTTTGTAGTCTTAGCCAGTTCTCTTGTCGCCATCACTCGAGTTACATTAAGTCATTATCAACATCTCCGTCTGTGTAATATAACAATTTTCAAAAGCCTTCCTTTAAATGTTGTAACCTTATCTTAACTGTGCCCCGTGAAAGTATGCCAACACAGCACTGCATGCTGGCAACACAATTCTTAACTTCAGTTTTACTGTAACACATGATTCTTCCACTAACAATATATTTCAGGACCACTTCACATCCCTACATGGTATGTATTATGGATACAACGTTCAACATCCTAATGCACGAGTGTGTACGATGCTTGGCTTTAAATAATAAACACACCAAGTTTCATAAATATATGATTATTCGACCAGCACGTTAGCCCGGCGTTTAATGGTTTATATATCCTTATGTGTAAGGGATTCACAATCCCCACAATTGGAGAAACTCGTTCTAAATCCTGTCATCCTGAATCCCATCATCCAGAATTACGTTAGAATGAATCTAATCAAGTTTCAGAATAAATTTCACCCATCTTATTTTTATCCGAATTCTTCTGATAGTTTTGAAACTTTACAATAATCAAAAAAAGCTCCACTCAAAACACATTTCACATAGAGCTCCACTCAAAACAGTTTTTTTTTTTTTTTGCATTTAAAGGAAACTATCATTTGAACTTTTTAATGCAATTTACAGTTAGCTAAGTAAACATTCGCGCTTAATTCTTTTAATATAACTCTTCCTTCATTTCCTAACGTATCATGACCATTCCTAAACCATTCACAATATATTTTTATTCCCCTGCTATATAACGATACTATTAGGATCGTGGATACTTGCCAAATGAGCCCCGATATATGTCCACCGCCTGACTCCAAATGCACTCAAACTTTGATAATATATAATAAATTGTGATGTTTCTGATCCAATTAGCAACTTCAGCTAACGTGTTCTACGTTTCCTTAAGTTTACTTCAGTTCCAAAGTTGTGATGACCGGCAAGAGAAGTACAATATTTATCAAACATTACACCTATATTTTACACACATATTGCACAGTTTTTTAGTACCAAGTATGTGTGCAATAGCCAATAAATTAATAGAAGTTGTGTGATTTCCCTCAACAGTTACGACGCTCGTCAGGGTCGCAACTTCGGCGAAGGAATGCGCTGGGTCGACGAAACAGTCCTGGGACTCAGGGCTTACTTTTTGCCCACCCGGTCTGCCTCACATGCCCCTGTCTCAGGCAGGAGCTACAGAGACGCAAAAATTAACGCGTATGGAAATGAACGCTTGACGCAAGGTGATAGCGGAGGCAGCTTTTCTGACATGAAAAACTTCAAAACTTTTTCTTTACATCCCAGTCATAGAGGGGACGAACGACAGAGCCCGCGAAGTGTTCCTCGAAACAACGGTCTCTATGAACACGGTCGAGAGCATTTCATAGGAATGGGTGAACACGGTCGAGAGCATTCAGTGGAAATGGGTCCAAACTTCGCCAATCACTCGTGGACGATAAGTGACCATAACGCTAAACTGAAGAGGAAATTAGTTATAACGCGTGCGTCATTCCCTCCCGTCACTGAAGGCAGCGTTGATCCTTCTCTTAGGCCTCGACATGCCCCTGTCTCTGGCAGGAGCTACAGAGACACAAAAATTAACGCGTATGGAAATGAACGCTTGACGCAAGGTGATAGCGGAGGCAGCTTTTCCGACATGAAAAACTTCAAAACTTTTTCTTTACATCCCAGTCCTGGAGGGGACGAACGACAGAGCCCGCGAAGTGTTACTCGAAATAATAGTCTCTATGAACACGGTCGAGAGCATTCCGTGGAAATGGGTCCAAAATTCGCTAATCGCTCGTGGACAAGAAGTGACCACAAAGCTGAGCTGAAGAGGAAATTAGCTATAACGCGTGCATCATTCCCTCCTGTCACTGAGGGCGGCGTCGGTCCTTCTCTTAGGCCTCGTAGGAGACGGAACACCAGCAAAGATCTCCTGGCTAACGGCTGGGTAGAGAAAAAGTTTGCCAGCGGTAAATACTTTGTTAACAAACAATTTTTTGCCCGAAATTTATCGCGAAAATATAAGATTGTAAATAAATTTGCTCGATCTCAAAGAAAAGAATACGAAAGTCAATGGAAGGACAGAGGAATGTACGAAGATTACGTTTCTAAGGGTAGTATTAATCCATTTTATCCTCCTGATTCTAATTTAGTTACTAGAAGCAGTGCGAAAAAACTGGGCCATGGCTTTTGGAGGGCCATTCCTTTGCAATCCTCATCCCAGGCTGCTGCCACGCATGTTCTTTCCTCTCCTAAGAAAATAACAGCCAACAGAGCTCTTCCCACGTCAACACAAACCGAAGCAACTTCTCCCCATTCATTGCCACTCGAGTCTAGCGACTCTCAAGCAGCATTTCCAATTCCCTCTATACCTCTCGAGTCCATTAAACCCACACCCATTTCTCCAACACGCCCCTCGTCTGTCGAGCCGAAAGTCTTTACGCGGCCCAACGGCGTCGCGGGCCGTCGGGCAAGGCACGCCGCAGGAGCGGATCCTGCGCTCTCCTTGATGCCCGTGGCTCAGGAGGACCACGGACTTTACCGCTGCCGTCTTGATTACTGGGAATCGCCCACCACCATGTCCTACACGGCAATGAGTTTAATGAGCCCAGCTATAACCTAGGTCGGTACACGTACCTGCTTTCTCAAGGTTAACGTGTGAAAATTAATATATGAGTGAACTACATTAATAAGTACAGAGACCAGAGCCATGTTAAGCGAAAGATATTCTACAGATCAGCGTTGTATTAAACTTAATTATCTGAAGCTAAACGTTCTCCCTCATAAATAAATTTCGTAACGTGGTTATTGAAAAACAATTTTAATCTTTTGACACGGTGATCCCCATTCAAACTCTACTAATTGATTGATCGTAAAGTCCACTTCTACGCTAGTTTTGTTTTTAGGATTTCAATTACTTATCAAGCTTGAATTGGGATGCAACGTGACTGTATAATTGAAACGTTCCAATTGTTTCGTTTGGAAAGAAAAGCAATTATCTCCATATGGAATTACTGCGGTCAATTCAGCCACCGAGACAAAAGAAATTAACGCGGTTATTGGAGGGCTGATGCCAGACCCAATTTGTTGATGACCAACATGGCGCGAAGCGAACAATTTGCCAGGCTTCGCTGCTACAAATGCTGATGCTCCAGGAAAAATCGAAGTTAGTAGAAAATTTGCATAATAAATAACTTTAGGCGCCTCGAAGGCTATCACTACAGTAATTTTGAGATAAATGATCAACTTCAAGGGTGTTTTTTAGTAGTTTCTGAATAAGACATCTAGCCAATATCTGTCGCAAATGAATTTTTCACCAAAAGCGAAAAATTTGCTTATTTTATTCATGCGTCATGACTACTTGATTATCGACGTTATAAATTTGAGCAAACTACATTGGAATGTATTATTCGAACAATATTCTTGTAAGATCATATAGGAGTGAGAGTCTTTTACTAGTCATACGAGATTCTACAAAGGAGATCCTTCAATAAAAGACTCGAGATTATGGCTTGTTGGCTTGAGACTCCCCTGAGTCCAAAAGCCCTACGATATCACGGCAGTAGGACCCTTCCTTATGTCCTATAGTCCTACAAGATCACAACAGCAAGGTCCTTCCGCAAGTTTTTGAAGTCTTACGATTTAACGGCAGCAAGACTCCCCTTCATGTCCTAAAGGACCAAGAGGTCGCGGCACCATGATTCTCTTCCAATTCCTAATGTTATTAAAGACTGCAGCAAGACGCCCCCTCAAGTCACAACGATCTACGAAATCACGGCAAAAAGACACACCCCTTAAGTCCTAAAGTCCTACGACATTACGGCAGCAAGACGCCCATTAAAAGGCTGCAGGAAGATCAGTTCCGCGTCGCGTTCCCCAGCGTGTCTTTATCTCCACCTCGTCGGTCTTCTGCTCCTCGCGGCGGCGAATAATGCGTCTAAAATGCGTCGTTTGGTAGTGACTATTAGCATTTCTAAGCGAGTAGATCTTATTTTTTTCATTTTTAAGACCTGAGAGAACTAAGTTTTTATTTGTATTTCATGGCTACCTCTGCAAATGCGGCCTACTTCTGCAAATGCGGCCTACCTCTGCAAATCCTCTCTGCAAATGCGTCACAGTTGCCTGGTGTTTACACATTACCCATGTCTCTGATGTGCATGCATACTTACCTCGCAATCAGTCCGTTTTTTATGAAACCAAAACTCGCACAGAATAATATAGACTGCCTCATTTATATTCACAGAATAATATACACTGCTTCACTGTCAATGTTTATTACACCTTCATAACATAATCTTTTAGGCTTTACGCATTTTTTTGCGTATCTCGCGTATTTTTACGTATTTTATTACGTGTCTTGCGGTAACACCTAGAAATTGCGAGTAGTAACTTTGTCAAGAGCCCATGAAGATTTGATTCACTGAAAAATATTCACAAAATATTTCAAGAGGGCCAAAATATCTAAAAAAAAATTTAAAAATCCGACATCTTTCTCATGATACATTTATGAGTCGGTCTGAGGCTCTCGCCAGAAGGCACCGCGCCCGCCGTACACGGGCCAGGTTTAGCCATTGTTTACAGCTGCTTGGCTGACACGCGTCGCACACGCGTAAACAACGCGAGAACAGGACTTGCTGCTACTGTGCATACATCGCACCAGACATAATTACCCGTGACACGACCGGTTACCGTATACACACCGCACCCAACATATTTACCCGTGACACGACCGGTTACCGTGTAGACACACCGCACCCAACATAATACATAATTACCCGTGACATGACCGGTTACAGTGTACACACACCGCACCCAACATAATTACTCGTGACATGACCGGTTACCGTGTACACACCGCACCATACATAATTACCCGTGACATGACCGGTTACCGTGTAGACACACCGTACCAACATAATCACCCGTGACATGACCGGTTACCGTGTACACACCGTACCAACATAATTACCCGTGACACCACCGGTTACCGTGTAAACACACCGCACCCAACTTAATTACCCGTGACACGCCCGGTTGCCATAACACACCGCACCCAACATAATTACCCGTGACATGACCGGTTACCGTGTACACACAGCACCCAACATAATTACCCGTGACACGACCGGTTACCGTGTACACACCACACCCAACATAATTACCCGTGACTAGACCGGTTACCGTGCACACTCCGCACCCAACATAATTACCCGTGACACGACAACTACCGAGCATACACAGCAGTCGGTCATAATGCCATCGTTCCCGTGACATAATCATTGCAATTAAACCCGTCATCATAACTCATTCCTCTCCCATTTTAATTCAAATGGCAATCAGAAAATCATGAGCCTTATTTATTTAAACCGAAAATTAATTTTCACTGCTCTAAACAATTCTTACTTATTTCGTAAACTTTCGACCGCTTAGCACCTGACTTAACACGTTGAGTGCGCCACGACCCACCGGTGGGTTGCAGTGTCTTTTTTTCCGGACAAAGTCCACGATTTGGGTTTTTTAATTACGTTATCCGGCAAAAATTTATGATGTCTGTACTTCCTTATTTAATTTTAAAAAGTACGAAAAAACTGAAAATTTAATTTTTGTACCGGAACCTACAAATTTACTCCGAAATTTTAATCATATGCCTTTTTTGTCGGTGGACATGGCCGTTTTTAGGCCATCTGGCAACCCTGGTGGGTGGTGCCTCGTGGTGACGTTTCATTCAACTCTGATACCATTTTTATCGCATTTTCTCATTTATGAAAAAAATGCTTTATTGTGCTCGTCATGTCCGTCCGTCCGTCCCATTCTGTCCGTCTGTCCGTGACTTCCCGTTTTCGTCGATTTTGAGAAAATTCGCTCGCTGTCACTCACTGCAGTGGGTACTGAGTTATATTTTAACACTATCATTCCACAAGGACGCCTTAGCTGTTTCTTTTAAAACTGAAGGCGTCATATAGTGCTATTCCTTCCACAATTTGCACTCTCATTGAGTTTAATAGTTACCGGTGACATCGAATTACATAACTTGAAATGTCGTCACGTTACAATATAAACTGCTGACTAAGAGTAGCAGCCGAAATTTTTAACGTAACTGAAGCCCGGCATTCACTTTCATCGCCTTATAGGTGCAGCGCTGTTAGAAAATCTTGATGAATAATAGATATACTTATGAAGGTTAAAAGTTGTAAGGGAAATGAATGGTAGGTAAACTTTTTCGATGGGAGTTGCGACGGAAATGTTGGTTTTTATTTGCGTTTATGCCGACACACTGAAACGAGTCTTAATAAATGAACATGTCATATAACATTTTTATTGTTAAATCACTTACGTGTTCACTGCATTCATTACTCAAGCACGATGTTACTCGCTCGCTATATAACTTATTGCATTCGATAAAACTGGGAAAGCTGAGAAAATTCAAAGTCTGTGATTCTGTGATATGTAATCTTCATCTTTCGAAAGACTTGAAGCAGGAAGTGGTACAAAAAATAGAACAAAATATGTTTTAAAATCCAGGGAAATAATTCCTGCTGAATGAAAATTGGACTAAACTTTAACCTTCATGTGTGAGAACCATTGCTGCTTGTTAAACTGTATTAACCAAAACAGAAGAGAATAAGAACTTAACACCATTCCCTAATCCATTCTCACTGCTCCTCTGAGCATGCCTAATTTTTTAGTTTAAGTTAATTATTTAGTACCATAACACAGCGCATTATTGATTACGATCAAGAAACTCGCAAGGTAAACAACGAAATTTTACACTCGCTCCATACTGTTTACAACGGCTGCAGCATCAGGAATGGGGCACTTGTTTATACAGCTGCATGTAGCTGGCAGCTGGACATAACAGCGCTCACATCATTTATATGTGTACATATATTGCCATGCCAGTAAGCGGAATATTTCATTGCAGCATTCGTTTTTCTGTGTCGTCATGTATAGTTTGTAGCCAGTTAATGTAGGAAAAGTACGAGTGGTGTAATGAATTTACAAAATGTTTTCATTCGAGCGGTAAACGTACGAAGACTAAAGTGAGATTCAATTCAATTTTACTGTATTATGTACTATAATCTACAGCTATGAAACAGTTTTTGTTCGTGTTGGCATCGAATTACTTAACTTACAATATTGTTGTCTGTAATGTTCCTATTGGTTCAGGTTCAAACGGATTGGTTTTTGATTCCTAGACGGCAACTTCCAATTGGGTGTTTGGGTCATTAGGCTTGATCCAAGTTCCAAGTTTATTAAAGTAGAACAGCAGAACAGAGGAGGGAAGTTTTCCTACAAGTAAACACGCATTTCATTAAATTAATTAAACACTAATAACTAGATAAGTGCAATTATTCTAAACATATTCTCACCGTTATTCTATTACAAATTAGATAGCCCAGATGCTTACCAAGATAAAGAAAACAAGCGGCTGGCTTGATCAGTAAGGGTCAACGAATGGCCAAACCGCAGGAAAGGTCCTTTCAATACTTTGGTTGGTGTTGCCAGAACATCTGCTACAAAATTCCTAAAACTAAAATTCATTACATTGTCGTGCAATTAAATAATATTACATTATAATTATAATATTATAGTAATTAGATTATAATTAAAGAGTTTTAACGAATGCGTGGAAAGTCAATGCCTCACACAATGTTTTTTGCAAAATTCGAAGCAAAACGCATTCGACCACTAAAACATTTTGAGACGGATAAAAGAACGCAAATGAAGTAACGAAGCCTTGAAACTGAATTCTATTCGTGTCTTTATCCGTGGTGTAGTAGCTCCTTAAAGAATTTCTTTATAATAAATTTCTATCATATTATATTCTTCTGATGTTATCTCTTCATGCAAGTAAATAATGCAATGCACGACTGCCGGAACTTGTTAGTTATCGCTTTGATGAAATTGATGAAAGATGTAATTTATCTAGATTTATGAATTGAATTATTTAATAATGATCAAATGAAGGGATATTTGTTCAATGATGCAGCGACGGGTTGGAATCACGTTCGGAAAATTTGAAATCCATGTGCATCTCCAGCTCCGTTAATTTTTGGCGTCTGTTATAATTAAAAACCTTTGGAAAATCTTTCCTTGAAAAAACTATCCTGTTTTTTTACAGTTCTATGCAGACATTTAAGCAGATGTAAGAAATGTTAAAGGTTTTCCTTGTTAACAGTCATTTTGTAAACTGGGTTCTGATGAACCTTCCGCGAGGGCAGAAAAAAATGCAGAAATATCAGAATAATTATATTTTATAATATTCCTCGTCAATATCTTAAGAAGCTTCGACTCTATTCTTTGCTTTACACAGGTTACTGCTTGTAGGGCGTATGTATGAAACAATCTACGGATAACAAATCCATTTTTGACACTTCATCCCACTATGCTCGAGTTACGAGTAAAATGGTAATTACATACACGTTTCTGGTAAAACAAACATATGCTTTAGGCAAGGAAGCCCAACGCATCAGGGTATCAGGTTGCATCCTCTTCCTTTCAGGCTCGCACAGCTTTAATGGCTATACAAGCCTAGGTAACGAGATGTTACCTAGGCTTTAATGGCTATACAAGCCTAGGTAACGAGATGCTCCAAGTTTCCGACTCGAAGTGGCATCTGGACTTGCCAGAAGCTTAGGAATATTGAGCGTAGGAATTAGTTTTACCTTTTACCTTTCTTTTTTTCACACTCAGAAGTTATTTTTTCGTAATATGACATGATTCCCGTTAATTTCAGATGTGTCATCTCAGACTCAATATTTATCAAATAAATACAGAAATACAAGAGAATTGATAATTTCAATCCAGTGTTTCAATGACTTCAAGTTCCATTAATGCTACTTTAGTTCTATTGAATATATATTTTTTGATGAGGACAAGGCCAGCGGCCTAAAATCGGTCCCGTATAATTTTATCATCATCGAAAACACCGGGATAGCTTTAACAAAGCAATGAATACATTTTATTTCATAGAGTCAGAAAATATAAATTGTTTCCGGGGCTTCTGATTCCTCTTTAATGGATATAAACTATTTGAGTAAATCGTAATTTAATATAGTAAGTAATAAAATATAGAAGTAATGTAAAAAATACGTATTATATTTTAATACCTCGTACAAATCATCCGTTCTCATGATTCGTTGCATTTTCCAGTCCCGCCAGAGGAGCTCGTGATCCTGCACGACGGAGCGCGCCTCCACAAGGGTCTGGATGGCGTGGCGTGGGTGACACCCGTCAAGGAGGGCACCAAAATCAACCTGTCATGTCGGGTGGCAGGTGGCAGGCCGTCACCCACCATCACCTGGTGGCGGGGAGAGACGCAAATCCCAGCCAAAACATCCTTGAACGAAGTCAGGCCCAGGTACAAGAGATCTCCTAATGCAGAATACTGGGATTCTTTCGAAGATGTGGACTTCTCTACCGAAGCTGATCCGATATCGGACTTGTTATTGCTCCGTGAAGCACAAGTTTCTAGACGAACCAAGCACGACTCGTCAGGAGAGCATACAAGTAGCATTCTTTATGGAAAATATCCATGGAGAGGTGCTCAATTTGACTTACCCAAGATAAGGAATAGCGACGTACTATCAAGGCTACGCCGAAACACAAAAGATTCTACGCGGTGGTGGGACGATATCGAAGTTCCGGATTCCGATAGCTCATCGTTTAACTACACGAACTTTATCTTGGGCAATGTAAGATACACTGACCAATACGCAGACCAGTACGGCCCCTACGACCCAACGAGGTTTATTGAACCCACGACAGTCGATAAAAATGAACCAACCGCCGAACCCGTGCAAACAAAGCCCGCAGTCCGATCCGAGGTTGCGGACATTATCGAATCGACACATTACGATAAAGAGATTATAGTTCAATCGGACATCTCACTTATTGCAATGAGAGATTTGGTTGGAACCTCGCTGTACTGTAGAGCAGAGCAGAGACTTCAAGGAGGACCAACAGACTTGCTCAAACCGCTGATGGCGAGCGTCAGCCTCAACATCACCCGTGAGTATTGCTCGCCGTTCAGTCATTGATTCTCACACGTAATTATTCGCCTATAGTTGCATACAAACATTCAATACCAATCAATGTTTTCTGGCTAAAAGAGAACACCGACCATATTTAGGGCAGGGTCGTCCAGTGGTTACAGTTCAGAGTACCACGATTGGAGCAGAGAGGTGCGGGTTCGATCCCAACTCTGTGTGCCAGTTTCAGGTCAGAATCGGCAAGGAAGCTGGGCGGTTGCGCGCAGCAAAATTTGGGCAGTGAGTAGCCTGTTCGAGACCGCAACAAGCTGTGAATATTCAGCGATGTCATGAATAGATGACAGGCCTTGGTTTAATAAGCGCTGAATTTTTTTATTTTTATTTATAACATTTTTATTCAATTCAGGAATTGAGAGGTTAATAGAAAGAGAAATCTATTCACAATCGAATTTAGTGTACTATTAATGTAAATATATCACAAATGCACAACGCTTTCGAGTTCCTTGAAACATATATTTTTATTGTTGTACAGAGGCTATGCTAATGAAATATTTTTTAATTGTAGATTGTTAATTAATTGAAAATTTCTTTTCTTTAAAGCTATAACCATTTAGACCATGAATATATAAATCAGTGACCAGAGCACGACCTCATAAATTCCCCACTACTCCAATAATAATCTTCGATGGTGTAAACCTCTTTATATGGCTCGGTAAATAGTCGCAAATATAGATCGCGTCCAGCAATGGGAGTCAAGATTGAATTTTGCATAATTTACATGGCGCTTTCGGGCCAAAATGCCTTGCCAATTTTATGTCCGACATGCATGCATCTGCGAATAATTTCTCATCAGCGAACAATAATGTTGGCGCTGAAACAGTGAGCAGCGTCGAAAAATATTTTTTTCCAAATTACAATCTTTTTTGGTTGCTGTTGATTAAAAATGACAATTGTGGGCCTTCCATTGTGTAAATAGCACATGAAAACTACCGGTTGAAACAATTGCCCCAGACGAAGTATAAAAATCTGAATAAAATGTTTTCTGAACTGATTTTTATTCATTTAGAAAAATTTCATATTTTTGAACAGAAAAACAATAATTGGAAGAGTTTTTCTTATTCGAAGACCTTCATAACACCTATAATATATTATGTAATGGGTATTCTCCTTATATTAATCATTATATGGTCTTATTGTAAGTCATGGGGCACTAAATCAATCTAATTCTCCTAATAATCAGACTTAGGTGCATCAATTACGAATTCAAGTTTAATGAGGAACGCTCCAAACATCAGCCGTAGCCTGTCGGAACTTCAGATTAATGATCAGCCTTATGGCACACATGACCTAACAATGTAGCCCTCTTTGAAAACAAAGACATTCCTGTGAATATTTAACCTGATTTATTACACGCTTATCTATTTAGCTTGATCTATTACACGGTTATCAGGTTACTCACAAAACAGGAAATTACTTTGAACGCTTGTGCTTGAAAGCGGACTTGCAGAAGCATTGAAAACGTCAAAGTACCATCGATGGACACTTGCATTTTACTAGGTACAGTTGACGGACACTTGTTTTTTTGTGTTAAAATTACAATCGATGGACACTTGTTTTGTGCTATAGGTAGCATCGATAGACACTTAATTGGAAAGTAAAATAGTTTCTCCGACTCACGCCTATCACACCAACATCACGATCAGGTGCTGCTCGGTTGTCACTGCTAATCGATGTCACGGCAATTCTGCAGACTCATAAATGGCCTGTACTGTCTCAATCTAATTAGCTTCTGGAATTATTTTCTGGAAATTCTGTCTTTCTTGGCCCGTTGGAAGGACTGAACAATGTGAAGGTCATTCTTTTTTTGCAGGGTTTACAGCAAATTGTACAAGCAATTTGACCGTCAGGTATGATTACTGATCATTTAACTCGCAGGTCAACGTAACGTTATGAAGAATTCAATGAATACAGGCGTAATACAATACTTCCATGTCAGTAGGCTAATTTACTTCTGTTTTTATTATAGCATTTTGCTTTTATTCGAAGTGATAAATGATTTATTGCAGTCAATATTTTCATCGCCCCAGTCTTTGTTCGTATGAAAATTAATATCCCTGTACTTCAGTGGGGTTGCTGGAGCTGGAGATGGAGGGCGGCACCCAGCCAGTCTCCGCAGGTAACTCCGTGCGGGTGGAGTGCAGAGCATACGGATCAAATCCACCCGCTGAAATATCCTGGTGGAAAGCCGGCACTCCGATTCCCAGCTCCGTCACTGCTGTTAGTTAAGCATTTACATAAAAAGCAGTGCGATATATTCCATATACATTGAGTATTTTATTCCGTCAATGTGTTTTTCATTACGAATATCGCTATTTGTTTATGAATAAATGGTTCTTTAGTTATTTGATAATTACATTCCACACTTTTTCGCGAACCGATCAACTTCATCCTTGCATCAAAATAATTACAGTCTATTGTTATCATTTACTTTTTGATTTCTAATTCCGTTCACAAGATCATGAAAGGAGGCAACCTGACCACCTCTGCTGTGGTCCTCGAAGTCTCTGCCAAAGACAACGGCTCCAACCTCATCTGCACCGCCACCAACCCTGTGCTCAGGAGCTCTCACATGACCAAGAGGAGAACTCTCAAAGTTTTCTGTTAGTCAAACCAGGGGAAAAGTACATAGTTTATTTATGTGTTAGGTCAGCAATGCCAATAAATTACGAGTGGTGAATAGAAACTTAAAATTCAATTGCTTTTGCGACAAATAACTTAGCAATTTATTTTAATATGGTAAAAATTCCAGATAGTCAACCTAAGCCAAAGAATTCTACCTCAATAAAAAGTAGTTTCAGCATAAAAAATAATCTGTCACCATCTCCTTATGACAGAATATTGCCACGTATCAAAAACTATTTCTCACTTTAGCACCTTCCTAATACATAAATTTACAAAATAAGTGGAACTCTGTCGCGATATGCAAGTTAAATAATGCTATTGTATAATAAAACAATTAACTGAAAACAATACTTCATAATAACTCATCTCAGACGTCTGCAGCTGCACTGTGTTATTTTCAGTTCCACCAGAAGTTGAAATCCAGATGTCAGAGCCTGCGTTGATATCCACGGTGACGGAAGGAGCAGACCTGGTGATGATCTGTCACGCTCACAGCAACCCTCCGCCTCACGACTACCGCTTCTACCACAAGGTACAAATTCTCAGAGAAATTCCAGGTCGTAAAACATCACAACTTTGTAACACAAAATCTTCTCTCATACTGTCAGATGTATCAAAGAAGGTAGCAAATCAGTAAATAAATTTTTGTTCCTCTGTCTGGACTCATATTCTCGGACAATAATTTTTTCAGAATTAAATAGCAATATTAGTAAAAGATCGATGTTTTGAATAACATTTAATTTGAATTCATCAGAAAGCGCATCACATGTGCTCCATTCACTCTAATTGATTTTATTTCACCATATATCATTTTACGTCAACCGGAAGAAACCCAAATGTATTCATCCTGTGTCATTTGCAAAAGCTTCTCCGATATTCTCTGTGTCAGTGTTTTGAAGAACAAAAGAATCGCATAGCATGAAGCTGCTATTTTCGAAGCTGCCATTTCTCGCTGAAACGATGCTCACGCAGATTGGGCTACGCCGAACTCTGCACCAGACTTTGCCGTAGCCATTTTCATACTCCAACGGACAAAATAAATCTGATTTTTTCTTAAAGGTTTATTCACTTCCCAAGGGTATGGAGCTGCATCCTGCAAATGGAATCTCCGTGTCAGATACAACGCTTACCATTCGCCGTGTGCACCGGGACCAGGCGGGGGCATACACCTGCAAAGCGACCAACTTGGAGGGCGCTACACTCAGCCCCGCTCTGCATCTCACCGTCTTGTGTGAGCGACATAAAATGTATACAATCGGTCATTTTAAATCACGCATTTTGGGAGCCATTGTGTCCATTGTAATATTTTATAAAACTATTTATTATTAGCTTGTCGACGTGAAATAAATGCTTTAATTTTTTAAGTGAATCAAATGGCCTAACCTCACGGTAAGAGCGTTTTTTCGCATATCAAAAAAATGTTTATGAAAAAATTTTAATTAGTTTATTTGTCCACTCCTGCTTGTCTAATTAACAAGCCGAGCGGATAATCGCATTTAAAATAATAAGAAATTAGGGCTGACCTACCCTTAAATAATTTTAATTACAAATATATTAATTTCATACGTGATGTTTCCGAAGAAACTGTTTCCGAGTTCCTGACTTTACATTGAAATCGCAATAAACGATTTCTGTGAAGCGAAAATAGCTATCCTGTGTGGAAAAATTAACTTCAGTGGAAATTAATTCCTGCGCGGGAAAGCTGTTTTCTGTAGACACAAATTGCAAAGTTTTGACAATACATGCCGTGCAATAATAATTTTCTACCTTTAATACCAACAATAAATGTCCCATGACACTCATCATTTGAAATTTCTTAATTTAAAAAGCCCTGTACAAAAACATAAGGCCTAAGCTTAAGGACTCCCCTTAGCTGTAGACTGCAGCTTTACTTGAACATAATGACGTGAACCCAACATGTCCCCCACAGTCGCCCCCGTGTGCGCCCCGGGCTGGGGGGCGCGGACCCAGGGCGCTGCGCTCGGCGCCACTGAGGCCATCGCTTGTCGCGTGGACGCGGCGCCCGACAGCGACCTGCAGTTCACGTAAGCAAGGGGCCCGTGCTGTAGGCGGTATGGGTCTGGCGCCATGGGCGGCTTGGGACCTGCGTCATGCCACAGGACCCATGGCCAGGTCCTGTGCCGTGGGCGACATGAGGCCTGAACCGTGGGCGACATGGGCTCTGAGCTATTTGCGGCATATTGGTTGCTCTCAGCCTCTCACAGTAGTCTCTTGTGGGCAGGAGCTTCAATACACTTCCTTTAGAATTTTGGTCTACTGATAAAGACTCTTGCTAAAATAATAATTTCCGACAGAGATGAACAAATATTTAATTAATATAAATGAAGTCGTCAAAATTGAATAATTCTTCGTATTGTAATGGAATAAATCATTTTACCTTTGATTGAGGTCCAAATTGTTATATGCTTGAGGTCAAAACTTTGATCTGACAAGTAGAACTGAATTTACGGTGTGCACATCTAAATCTGCTCATTGTAAAAAAGGATATATTGCCTCAATATATGAATTTTCTCTAATTAGTAGGTGTAAATTGTCAACATCGTGTATGACAATTTTGACTTACAATTTCTCTCCAAGTTTTGATTAAATACTATTTTAATAAAATATCTTGCATTTCCTAATAGAATTAATGAACATTTTTGAGGCTACTTATTTAAACCCAACATTTCCCCATAGTGGTATCACGTTTCCTCAACTATATACATATGTATATCACAGACATTTTAGTAATGGAAAAATTTCTATGTTTTTGAGACTAAAATAAATATCATGAGCGACTGCTTTGCAACTTCAAAGGAGCTGGTTCTTAGTTGTTTATTGGATCATTATTCTGAAAATCGAAGTTTTCATAAAACCTGGGAACACATAAAATTTTTGTGCGTATTTTGATGTCAAGCAACTCACAATAATTAAGCTTTACGTGCTCCACGCTTCTCAATCCAAGAAACTACAGCTCGTCCCCGCTATGAATTTCCTTTGGTTTTCTTTTATTTTTTCCTTTGTATTGACTGTAAGACAGCATACCATTCATTTCCGGTAATGTTTGAATTAATTTCAAGTTGTTCATCTGGGGCTTCCGAAACATCAAGAATTGAGAAATAAGTAAAAGAAATATCTATTTTTGTCGTAGACAACAGTGAAGTGGATGCAAGTTCTAGTAATTTTCCGGCTCACTTGAGTAATTATTTTGAAGTTTTTACTTCCTGCAAGACAACAGGAATAAGTTTTCGGCGAACATAACGTAGTTAAGAAGAAAAAAACAAGGACCGAGTGCGTTTAAAATTTATCTTCATTGCTGAAGCATCACATAGCATTCTTTTTCCTGCAAACAAATTATAAATTTTATTCTAAATGTAGAAACGAGCAATTTTTATTTATATTTTCGTTCAGAATTCTTTTTGAGTAACACCATCTTTAAGATAATGCCGTCAACGAGAATTTGTGCCGCATAAATGGCTATTGTTTCCGCGCCTGTAAGAAAGTAATTCAAGAAGTGACTTTAGATCATTTAAATTCGAAATGTTCGAAATTCTTTACTTATTTCATGAAAAGTTTAAAGTTTTTCCCCTGAATACGAAGCGAGTGAACTGACCTCCTCTATTCCTTCCGTTCGAGGGCCCGCAACAGCATCGGCAAGCAGATGGTGGGATGTCGAATTTCTATCGTCCCCGCCGGGCCGCCAGACCCTCCTACTAATTGCACGGCCGAGGGCATGTCGGAATCCGACGCTACATCGCTCGAAATCAAGCAGCGAATTTCATTAAGACGAAACGAAGGCGAGCTTGAAGCAGACTCTCGAGATCATTCGGAAACTCCTCCAAGAGATGAAGGTATTCCGCAAACGAAGTTACTCACTTTGAAACAACAAAAGGCTGCCGAAGAAACTCAAGTCTCGACCGACATCGGCGAAGCCGCGCCAAAGACGCTGGGCAACACAGCGGCGTCGCAGCAAGTGAGGCCCGAGCGAGAAGCCACGTTGCAGGGACCCATGGCCAGGTCCCAGCGAGAGGCCACGTTGCTGGGAACCATGGCCAGGTCCGAGCGAGAAGCCGCGTTGCTGGACCCCTTGGCGAGGCCCGAGCGAGAGGCCAAGTTGCTGGTCCCCTTGGCGAGGCCCGAGCGAGAGGCCACGGTGCAGGGCCCCGCCGTGGTCGTGAGTTGCTTGGACGGCTTTGACGGAGGCTTGCCTCAGTTCTTCTTCGTCGAGGCCTGGCAAGGGGGGAAACTCAGAGCCAATCTGTCCAGGTGATTAAATTTTCATATGTGTGAGAATTTAAAATGAATAATTCGTGGCAAGAACCCGAGACTTATTCGTGAAGGTTTTCCAGACAAATCAGAGACTCATGAAGCAGAAGTTGGTAATGTAATTATGCAACCTTCGGATAATAGAGCGTTGCCACAGATGAATTATAACATAGAACAAGCTTCAAACAATATAAAGCATAATGCAAACTTTGTAAGGTATTTGTCTTGATGAAACTAAGTAATGCATCGCAATATCTTACACACAGTATATTCCCATTATATACGATGAGTAATCTACATCATAATATTTATTTACTATCAACATTACTGAAGGTAAAATGAGATACAGCCAGCCCTGGCAGTGTACCTTGACGTCTTTCTGTCCTCCTTTTATCAAACAAAATTTTCGCATATTTAATCTTTGCCCCGAATTAAATTTTATAGCAGATTAAATACGAAACTTGAAAGATTTAAATTATTTTTAATGCGCGGAATTCATCATTCTTAAAAGGTTTTGCTTAAGCTCACTGAATTCACTCGATTGTGTGCTAGCTGCAACAATTATGAGATCGAATTATTCTATACTGAATGAAAATGGTTTTAAATACTTTCTTAACTAGATTTATTCTTTACAATGTCTTTTATCAACTATTATTTCGTGATTAACAGCAAGTTTCCCGAGTGGGTGGTGCCGGGGCTGGAGGGCGGGGCGGAGGTAAGCTTGCGGGTGGTCGCTGCCAACGCGCGCGGCAGGAGTCACACCGTGCGCGTGCAGCTCATGGTGCCTCCACGTACCGCCTTCTCCACCGGTCAGTTCCAGGAACAGACAATGTGCAGAACATTCAGAGGAATGTTGTAAGAATATTTTATACTTAATAGTTCAAATTGTGTCACAGCTCTCAAAATATATTTACAAGTATCATAATGTTTTGCATAGAAGATCTAGAACTAATACTCCCTCAGTTTAGGTTTATTGACGGTGAAACTCATCAATACTTGACACAGTTATGCATTTAATAAATTAATCGTATTCCACTTGCATTACGCATTTAAATCGAGTTCACAATTATGAAGTGGATCTAGTCTGTAACTTATTTCACGACTCAGTCAGATAATAGACCGCTGCCAAAGTTGCTAAAGTGATTATTCCTTTCTTTGACCCAAGGGACAGACCAAGGGCACGTGGGCGTGTCACTCATAGGTGCAGGAGTGGGCATAGCGGCAGCGCTTCTGTTGCTGTTGCTCATCGCGTCTGCCGTCGCTTGTCGATCACAAACTGAACGACACAAGCGACCTCTTCCCACCACAGCAATCCTCAATGGGGCTGGAATGCACACTGATCTTTCCCCTCTCGATGGGAGTTCAGTGATGGTGAGATCGAGATTGAGGTCGACGTCGGACGCCGCCGAGTGGTCGACCGACCGAGGGCGGTTAGTTGGGTCGAGGGAGCCTGACGTGGTGCGATCTGTGACCTCCAGACCAACCCTCGACCAAGACCGATTTCCTCCACTCATTCTGGCTGCACCTGCTGTTAGTATCCTATTTTAAAAAGATTTTTTTATTCAGTTAGCTCTTAAAAACCTGTTTCTTTACCGAACAATTCATAATACATAAGAACTTTATCCGCATCGTTTCCGTTGATTCGTTTATGTTGAATTATGCAATTACGTTGTTGAACTTTTTTTGTGAATCTAATACAAATGAATTTTTGAAGGTTTTTGCTCAAGTTTCATAATTGGTACGAAGCTCGTTTAAAGTAATGATGAAATAATTGGTCTGCACGCCCAATTATTGGAATCACACATATTGGAATTATGAAATCACACGTTAATCAGAGGTTCACAATAATACCTAACTTCACAGTACAAACAACTTTTTTTCGCTAAAACACTCAATTCGGCGTTTTAAATGAAAATTTCCAGTCACGTGGAATATGAAACGACGATATTCTTGTTCTGCCCAGGAAGCAGCGACGAGTTTAGACTCTGACAGTTCCGGGACAACGGAAGATAACTTGCAGCCGTACGACAACCCCAGCAGCAGCAGCACGACGGACCTCGAGGACCTAACGGACCTAACGCTGGACGGACGCTTGCGCTCCGGGAGGTGCGATCACAGGAGTGCGCGGCCGGGCGGCGCCTTCGGGAATTTTGCATTCGGCCCATCAGGATCGCTCTTGAAGCCTCCAACAGCGCAAAAACAATATAATTTCTTGCCAAAACTGGTTGAAGTGAACGATTTTCACCCCGCCTTTACAGATTCCCGGTTTGTCTTTTCTGATTCTGCTATTAAATATTTGACCAAGCCGACGGAATTTGATGAAGAAACATACAGTAAATATGAGAAAGGCTTGAAAAGAAGATCAGGGAGTGAAAGCAATTTGCGTTTGTTAAAAAGAAGACAATGGGGAGATTCGGATAAGTCAGTTCAATTAGGCAATAAAAAATCAACTAGGCCTTTGCTTCTCGAATCATCAGTGGATAATCCAAGGCTTGCTCCGAGCCAAACTCTTCCGAAAAATTACGGCGGTTTCGCCAATGGTCGATTCGCAAGTTTCCTTGGCCGCTCTCAAGGTCCTCACCCAGGAAGCAGTGCTACGGATCAAGTTCCAGCCATCGCGACCGTAACGAGGGCTGCAGGTAAAACCGAGGCATTTGATGGATATCTTCAACACGATTACCAAAACGTACCCTCTCAGTCGTACGATGGCGCTGTTCCTCAGAAGCCACCGAGATTGTCTCCAATTTTTGATTCGCAGAAAGTTACCTTGAGGAAACCCACACCAAGAAGTGCATCTGCAGTCAACACAGAAAACTTGGAAAAGCAAGGATGTGAAAAGGGCGATAATCGAACAAATAATTTTATTTCGAATGAACAGTTTATCGCACAAAATGAATTTAACCGAAGCATGAACCCCACTCAGGACTTCTATGATAATAGAGTTGAATCACGTAAGAATATTCAACAAAGAACTTCTGACAGGATGGTTTATGACGAGAATTATCCATACCACACAGTTAAAATTATTTCAAATTTTTCACCGCATAATCATCCCTCTAAAAACGTTGACTCAATGAATCTTCAGAGACCAACAGCAGAACCTTCCCCTTATAAAATTATAAAGAATGGGGAGTTTGGAGCTGTAAAATCTAATGGAAATCCGTCCCCCAACCAACAAAACTATGGTTCTCCATTCTCCCTTCCTCTTTCTTCTGAGTCAAATAAAAATAATATTTTCCAGCCCGTTATTAGTCCATCTGAAGAGTCAATTTTTAAAAGCCTAGATCAAAGCGTTTTACGCAAGAGCAAATCCCGGTTCCATACTTTGGACAAGAAGAGAAAGTCGGGCTCGCGCCCTGCAGGCATCTACGAAATGAACCCAGTGAAACAAGAAGCAAATTCAAAACAAATTCCGGAAAGATCGAACGATCAAACGAACCTCTTCAGTAATAACCATGCAAGCGATCACAATCTCAGGCAACCGTCTAACATTCCTGTGAATTCTTCCGTAAAGAACTCATCAGCAGGGGATGCAAGCAGTGATGTTCATGTTGTAAAATTGCGTAAACCAAAGAATGATAATACGCTTCCACTGACCAGATCATCGGATGTTGTGAGACCCGTGCCAGAAACTTGTGATGATTACATCAAGCCTCGCAGGAATACTACTTCTGATCTCAATCCCAACCTCGGAGGCGAAGTTCAAGGACCGCTTGCAAAAAGGGAGAGTCTTGGTGATTCTCCCCCAGAAAGTTTACTTCAACAGGCCAGCAGGTTTGGGAAAATTGAAACGAAAAATGAGAAGAATGGCAAGTCAGAAAGTGATGAATATGGACTCGGGGATTTCATGTTAAATCCTCAAACTTACTCATCACCAGATGATTTTCGCTACTCTTTAATTATTAAAAAACAAAATTCAAAGGACAACCGTCAATTGGATAGCTCAGTGACAAGACATAATTCACCAAGCCGTTTCGAGTGTAAAGAAAGTGTCATTTGATCTGAAATACGTGAAGATATTTAGCACTCTGTTTGTAGTGTGAGAATCCGGTGTTGAATTATCGTGTCTTCCCATTGGTAATTATACATTCTAGTATTATGAATAATTTGTCTCTAATAAAATGTAGCCCCATGTACTAAAATTGAAAAATGCAAAAACTAATTCAAATGAATAAATGCTTTTTTTCAAAATTTATACAAACTTTCCATGTGTTCTTGAATGCCTTACTATGAATGCCTATCTCAATTTTACGAGCTTTTTTCGTTGCTCGTTAATTCACAATTTGTAAAACAATGTTGAATTTTTACTGTGAAACGAAGGAAATTTTCAGTCTCGGGATTATGTGTGGTTGAATTGACCTCAACATTTTTCATGATTAAGATTTATGAATCAACGTTTCTTTGTATTCGACTGCATGTCATTTGGCCAACCAAAGGGATCGATCCACTTTGCAAATTGAGATCAAACATTCCCTGTGGATTCTCCACCCCTAACAAAGTACCTAGATTTTTCACGACAAAAAAAAAAGTACAACAATTGATCAAAAACAACATTTTATTTCTTTTAAAAGAGATTCATATAATCAGTTTAAGAATAATTCTCAACGAAAAGCATTTCTCATGATAACCGAACAAGAGCTTTTAAGATTCATGATTTGAATTTCAGTTCAAGCTTTTCGACTTCTTATTCACTTTATTTCCTCCGTTATTATTCGTAATTGCAGAGAGAGGGCTGATCTTGCTCTCTTGAATCCTGTACCCACTATATAAATCCTTTCGGTAGTTTACTCGGCCACTTAGCCGCCATTGAGTATTCAATTCGCCTTCACCTGATCGCTTTTACTTTCCCATTACGCTATAATTAAACTGCCTAAATATCCTGAATCAGTTCCGATATAACGATAAGTGTTTGGTACAACTTTTTAGCGGCAAGATTCCTTATTGTAGAACTTGAGAACTACAAACAAATATTCTGCGCAGAATTATATTTCATCAATGAAGATAATACTCATTAATTACCATAAAAAACTCTGTATGTATAATATCAATACGTATTTCCAGACTGGGAGTAAATAAGATGTTATATTTATTGTATTATCAATGATTGTATTCAACTTTGAATGTCTCGTACATTAAACTTAACAGGCGACAGAATAAATCACTTTAATATAATATAAAATATATATACATATATATAGATTGCCCAAAATCGAAATAATTTTTTTACTGTGTGCGCCCGCCGCAACCAGTTGAACATTTTTTTCGAATTTCTCTGTCTATAAAATCATATAAATTTGAATGCATTACTCGATGCTTCCTCTAAAAGTATTCCTACGATCCAATTCATATCCAAATGAAGGAAAATATTAATCCGTGTTTCAGAGAGCTGCTCGATGCCCAGAAGATTGAGCTGCGGGGTCCGCTCCTGAACCGCATTTGTTTTGGGTTTTGAGTTTAATTACCGCCATTGAATATTCAATTCGCCTTCACCTGATCGCTTTTACTTGCCCATTACGCTATAATTGAACTGCCCAAAGATCCTGAATCAGTTCGGATATAACCATGAGTGTTTGGTTACTACTTTTTAGCGGCAAAGATTCCTTATTGTAGAACTTGAGAACTACAAACAAATTTTTCTGCGCAGAATTATATTTCATTAATGAAGATAATACTCAATAATTACGATAAAAAATTCTGTATGTATAATATAAATACGTATTTGCAGACTGGGAGTATTTCAGATGTTATATTTATTGTATCTCTGAATGGTTGTATTCAACTTTGAATGTCCCGTTCATTAAACTTAACAGGCGAGAGAATAATAACTTTAATATAATATAAATATATATATATATAAATTGCCCTAAATCGAAATAATTTTTTTACTGCGTGCACCCGCCGCAACCAGTTGATCATTTTTGTTGAATTTCTCTGTCGATCATTTTTGTCGAATTTTAAAATCATATATACTTGAATGCGTTACTCGAGGCTTCCTCTAAAAGTATTCCTGCAATCCAATTCATTTCCAAATGAAAGAAAATATTAAGCCGTTCTTCATAGAGCTGCTCGATGCCCAGAAGATTGAGCTGCAGGGTCCGCTCCTGAACCGCATTTGTTTTGGGTTTTGAGTTTTTGCGATAAAAATAAAGTAAATAAAGTAAGTCCTAAGATGAGACCGCTGCCTTCACATCCATTTTCCGAAGATTTATTTTTTTGGGAAGACGCGGCTTTACGCTTGTTTTTGGTCCCTTGTGCCTCTCGAGCCTATGACGCTAACTTCAGTACTGAAGGTGATCCGTTTCCTGAAGTAATTGTATTCAGAAAACCAAAAGTTCTCACTGTAATAACTTAAAATTTTAATATATATATCTAAAATTAGTTGAAAATAAAGTCAAAAATTTCAATATTTAATCAAGAAATAATGAAGAAATGCTAAATTTCATTTGAAATATAAGACTCATAACGTCTCAATGGTGTAATTATTGTCATGTCTTCAAGTGAACTTGGCACTAAAATTCCTTCAGTAGTCGACGCGCTTTTAAGATGTAAGTTTGCTGCTGAACTCATTGCTAAAGAACTTGTGTGGACTAACGTCCACTTCGCTAGTGTAAATAGTGTAATTCTTTACACAGCTCCGTCTGTGCCGAAATTCCGACCAAATATTATGAAAAAGCTGCTCCGTAATCTATTTTATTGAAACTTTTTGTTCGATTTATTCCATTGATAAAATTCATCGCATTCCTAAGGGATGTAACAAATATTGATGCATTTTACGCAATGACATGCATTAGTGAAGTAATTTCTAATAAATACTTTTAAGTTCTTCCAAAGCATTATTTTCCTTCGACTCAAAACTGCCGCTATATTCCGCAATAGCTATTCATTCATTTCAAAAATAGCTATATTCAAAAAATATCCATAGTTAATCAACATAATGACTAGTTGTTAGTCAACAAAATGGCCTAATAACAAAATGACCGTTGATCAACATAATGACCCAAAAATTGCATTGTTAATCAACAGAATGACCTAATAACTGCTTTGTTAATCAACAGAATGACATAAAAACTGCATAGTATAGTTGAACAGCATCATGAGATCAACAATCAACAGAATTATCATCAACCCACGACAAAAAATCCTTTTCTGTCTAGGTGAACTGGCGTCTCAAACCATCACTGGACTGTCATCACAAACCAGCACTGGGCATCTTGTTGTTGTTGTGGTGCCACTAGGAAAGGGTGGAAGAGAACAAGAGGTGGCGCAGAGTGGATAGAAAGAGGAAGGAGAAATGGAAAAGACAGTAGGAGATGAAAAGGCGCATTGCGCATGATACTGACATCTCAAACCTGCGCTGTACTAGCTAGGCCTCAACTAAATACCCTACAAGAGTTGGCAGTAATCTTGAGCACCTTATGACCGCTTTCCTAACAACTTCCTTATTAAAATTTATGTGACGAAAATCACGCGAATTTTGCAAAAAGTTCCAGTCTTTTGGGGAACCTGCTGACAGGTTGCCTGTAAATACAGAGAGAGAAAAAAAAATTTAGCTGTTGCAGGGAGAGGACTAAACTGGATTGAAAAGAGAGGCACTATGTATGGTATGGCAAATTTTTTTTGGACGTGTTAAATTAAATCATCTATTTCTTCCGAGATGAGCTTCTCTGAACAAGAAAATGAAAAAAAAATAATAGAGCCTACCTAATGCTCATTGCTTTTTTAATAAAAGTATTCCTTCATATGGCATTTCATTGAATTAACAATGAATTCATTTCTATTTATCACAAAATTCTATTTTTCAGTCGTTAAAGATGATCCCACATCTAAATTAATAATTACCAACACATGCCCGAAGTGAAACTCATTTTAAATCAAAATTATTTGTTTGAAACCTATACAAATTTCAATCTCTTTACCTCTGTCATTTATTCATCGCGATTAGTTTTTAACAAAAAATGGGCTTTTGGTCGCGGATCCCCGTGATAATGTTATAGTTATTAAAAATATATTCATTCAAGTGCTCCTCAAATTTGCAGTGTAGAAGCAGCCCCCCAAACCTTCACCTCATCACTCGTCGCTATTCTGGTCGATTAATTTGCTTTAGAGGATTCCGGCTCTAATTTGCTGACGATGGCGCGCGTTTCTTTGCGTCATTTGGTGCCGGCGTCGCGGATAAGCCTTGTTCTCGCAGGGAAAAAACCTCGTCGCGTAATCGCTCAGCCATGACTCAAACTGTGTTCTCTTAATCGTGATAAAGATTACAGTTAATGGAATCAAATTGTTGGTTTGAAATCAAATAAGTTTTTCCATATAAATTATTTTCTAGTGCCCGAAAATATAAAATGTAATTTTTTGTTTAATCAGAAACATGGTTGATTTCACTAAACTGATATATCAAATGATAATAAGTTAAATATTAGTTGTAATTTCCGTAGACCAATTTCAGTTTTCGATGTTCATTTTGCATAATAGTTTAATGTAATAATCCCAAGGGAAAAAAGTTTTGCAATAAAATCTCAATTCTGAAAAGATATGTGAACTGTTTACTTCAGCTAAAATTAATTTAGGTTAATTTTCCCCGTTGGTTATATAGGACATCAAAATTCCGTATCAAGTAAGCACGACAGCCTAAATTTTATCTCAAACCATTTTCTTTCAGAGCGAATTCGCTAGTTTACGTATTTTCAAATTCGCACAAATATATTATGTATGTCTTTCATTATAATTTTTCGATGATTTATCACAAATGTAGCTTGTAACAACTTATATATAAATTAAATCACTGAATTGGCAGTATGAAAATTATATAAAATGCAGTATTAAAAAAAATTACGCCCAATTACTATTTCTCTTTTTTGAATGCTTAAAAATTATCCCAAATGTTCATTTGCATCGCGCCGGTGCTAGACCATGGCTTGCATGCACGAGCGAATATTGAAATGCAGGTTCTGGACGTGCTACGCAAGGTTTTCGAATTATTCCGCAGAGAAATTATGCAATTATATTTCTTAGTTGTAGCGAAGTGGTCATTGAATAGACCAACCTTCATAGAAGCCGAGTAATGAAGCAAAGTTTCGAACAAGAAACCTAAACAGTTTTCTTGGAACTCTATGTTACCGAAAATACGTTTTATGACTCGACAGTGTAGCGTTATTGCTATGAAATCAAAGAAAATTATGTTAAAAACATTTTTCTAAAAATTTTGACCGGCCTTTCTATGTGTATCTTATAAAAATTTACTCTTTCTCGAATATTCACTTAGGAGTTTGACTTTCTCTAGAGAAATCAACCATGTTTCTGAAAATTTTTATTTGCAAACATCCCTAAAGTTCCTAGGAGGTTCCTTGCAATGTTGCCAAAGTTCAGGTAGGGAACCCTTGTATTCGTTAGTCGAGTATAATTTTCAGACGAGAAGGAAGGAATGAGGGAACTTCTCTTTAAAAGTTGCGCCGAGCCGCTGTCGGTGATGAGAGATTCATGTGCATTTTTGGGTCAAATTTCGAGCCATGCTTCAAGCTTCGAGGTCCCTCGATTTGAAACTCCTACTCATAAAGACGTAATCAAATAGTACTTTTAAAACTTGAATTCACGATAAATTTACTACAGCCCATTTATCCTACCGCCATGAAACGAATTTTTAAATTAGCGATACATTTACCGCACGTCTGCTATGCTCTGAAGTGGACTTAATTTAAAAATGAAGGGGAAACTTCCTTAAATTTTCTATATTCCACAAATTTTTCATAATTAACAAAAATTTTTACCACTGGCACTGCTCTCACGATCTCGGTAATCTCATCTGATTGAATTTCCTCAGAATGCATGATATATATAAAGGAAATCTTCAATCAATTTCAGGATTCATACCAATAATCCTCATCATCCATTGACAAAATTATAAATAACAGATTATGATGAAATATCTAATATAAAAACTACCAAATTTTTCTGCCACCAGTAAAGTTGTAATAATTTTTACCATTTTTATAAAAGTTCACGAGGTTTTGTTCGGAACAGAACAAAACCTCAAAACCCCGACAAAAATCATCTTCTTTTCTTTATTTTAAGTTATTAATCTACTGTGGCTGCTCCACAAAGTTAAACAAATTTAAAATCCTTCTAAATCTTCAAAATATCCTTCAAAATCAACTCACTCTAAATGAAGCCACGTGCA